TGTGTGAGCAGTCTATGAACTATACAGAATTCTGCAACGAGTACAAAGCTGAGCTGCCTATCCTATTATTTCCAAATGAAGAAATTGATTGTCTTATTTTAATCAACCAATTCAAAAGCCTAAGAAAATACTTATAAAGTATGGTTACCATATAGAATGTCTTGGGTAGGTTAGTTGCAACCAATCTTTCTTTTTGGTAATAGTCTATGCTGCTGATACAATGTTGGGAGGCATGTCCACAGAACATCTCGGGCTGGAGGTAAGTTCAATATTAATAAGGAGTAAATTGAGTCTTGGGATCATTTGTTAGTTTCATCCCATCACAGTAATAATGTCCTGTGGCTTTTTAATGGCCCAAGGTGTCTGTGGTACCACAGTGTTCCTTCCGACGCATTAATGAGGCACTACTATGCTGATTTTGTACGTGTTAAATAACTGACTCGTTGCTGTTGAGATCTCTGACCCACATGCTTTGACCTGTTCCAGACTCATTTTTGTTGGAAAACCATCTGTTATAGTTAGTTGTTTATAGTTGACAATATTTCTATTCTTTCTGATAAGCCTTTTTTGTTAAATCAATGAGGTGAGATTTTAGTTTTCTGCCCATTAATAGTGCTGATGTTGAAATTCCATGATGGAGTGCTGTAGAGTAGCAGTTTAGTAGAGCTGTGAAGAAATCTATGTTTTTTAAGAGACTTCTGATTGTTTAGATCTAATATTCAGCTTCACCATTGACTGAGGATACCTTGATGGATCTGTTGATCTCCCAGGTGTTCTCCGCTGACAATGTCTTCTAGTGTCAATATCGCTGTTAAGCATTTGTCTTCCTTGAAGGATTCTTAGTTTCCTCAAATCATGTCAGAAAAGATAGTTGTATTTCTGAAATAATTAATCCCTTTTTGATGCTGAAACAAAGTATGTCCATGTGATTATTCCACCCTTGCTTGTATTCTTTGGATAATGTTGCCGGTGTATCAGGTTCAGGTTCTCCACGGATGCTGCCAGATCTGCTGCATTTTCCCAGAAATGTCTATTTTTGATTCTGATTTCCAGCATCCGCCGTTCTTTGAGTTTTTTTTAATTAGGTTGAATCATTGATACTAAAGCTGACTGTGCTGTTTTGGAAACTCTTTGAAACAGATGAATTTGCTGAATCAAGAGGTAGAAGATTTCTGCGATTCGGATGAATGACAGATCAGGTTTGGAGCGTCCAAATAGCCCTGCTTTTCTTTTCCTTGATCTCACATTCCTAAATTATTTTAATAAAGTAATTTAGTTTGCACATGGAATTGTCGTGCTTATTTAATAAATTTTACTGGCACACCTTAAGCATGTAGCCATTTTTAAGTGTAAGGATATGCGGTGTTGGCCTAGGATACGAGGTCTGGTGTTCTGTGTCCCTCGGCTCCCACATGGGTACAATACTTGGACCCCCAGCAACATCCCAGTCTCTTTTCTGTCCTCTTCATCCAACACAAACTGTTTCTATGAAAGCCCAGACTATCTAAAAACTCTCATGGCTTCCATCTTGACTTCATCCCTATCGAATTAATTTGGCCCATGGATAGAGCCTTTACTATTGAATTTTTTCACAATTGCTGAGGCGCAATCATATACAAGTTTAAAATAATGCAGCTATCTTTTTCAATCCCAAACAGCTACTCGAAATTTGAAAATAGATGTGTTTTGGAATGAGAAAGTCAAAGCAATATAATGAAAATGAATTGTGCAAGCTAAAATATTGAAAATAAACACAAAATTCTGAAAATACAAAGCAAGCCCATTAGCATTGGAACAAGAAAAGAACAGTTAATGTTTTTTGGTAGACACTCTGTCAGGACTGAAATAAAATCCTGTAAAATCATCTTTAACAGCATCAGGCGATTTAATTATGGCTGCAGCATTACTGAAACCGTAGCATGCTGATTAGACCCCTGGGAAGCAGATAGAATGAAGTGTTAATCTGTGTGATACACTCAATAGGTGAACCTTAGCATCTATGGAGGGCTGTGATTACAAAGGGTGATGTACCAGCATGTGGTCGCATAACCTAACAGCAAAGAAATCAGCTTGATGACTTTAGAGAATTCCAACAGGAAAATGCACCCCGGTTTTAAGCAAATTAAACAATAAGGACACTCTAATTTAATATCTGTTTTAGTACAATCAAATCTGTATGCAAATCTTCAGAATCCCTTACTGATAGACAAGAATGAACATAAAGTGCATACGTGAAAGGCATTTAATTACAGAAATAAATACAGGTGTGTTCAGCTTTGTAGAAGATGGAAAATATAAGAATATGTTTTATGGTGATTATGAATTAAAAGTTTCCTCTAAAAATTAACTTCAGTTTAAAAAATGCTTAAAAATGTATGTAAACAAAAGAAAAATGAAGAGATACATGTTGGTTGCATAAAGTATGGAAATTCATAACCAAATCGTGCTTCAAAGAAACCTTCAAACTAAGTTACTGAGAAACCAACACTGTTGAGTTTGTGTGTGGGCAATGTACTGACAGGGGTGCTTGGATGGGTGGGAGACTGTTCGGATCCTTAAACTTGGTGCCGCTCACTGTACTACCAAAGGGCTATGGTAAGCCTCCATGTACTTATCTAGCTGTAAACCTGTAATCCACTACTAGCTGCAGCCCCAGCCCAGCTCTGCCAATACAGCTACAATGCTATAGGATCTGTGCAGCAATAAGCAAAATTGTTTGGTGCAAAAAATGTAGGACAAATCCAACCTGACTAAATTGCAAAAGTGTTTCAAAATATTATTTAGTGTTGGAGTCTGTAATTGCAGCCAATTGTTGACATTGGAACATTCCATTATAATTGTTTGTAATTTTACAAATGTAGATACAAACGCATTGCTTAAAAATTAAGACAATAATAAATAAGACAGTGGGATATATGTAAATAGATGGAAAGGTAGACTGGGTTCCATTTGGCCACTATACATTAAGAAATTAATAATTTAGGAATAGATCAAAGAAAACCATAAACCTGCCTCTAGGACTTGGGGGTTTGAAATCAAAAATATATTTGAACAGCTTGTTTTATTTGGGAAAATATGATTGAACACAATATGGTCTGTGACTTTTAAATGCTGAGAGGCATGGATAATTTAAATGTAAGCAAATAACTTCAACTAAGCTATTGCCTACAACGTGGATTTAAATTTAACAAGCCTGAAGAAGTTCTAGAAGAGTTTGTGAGGAAACTTTGTTTATGTCTCTTGAACAGTGGATACGTGAAACTTGTTACCAGAGAGAAGTGAAATGTTTTTGTCAATTAACATGGATGATCGGGAGTGGAATTGGAGCTTTTACTGGATAGATATCAAATGAGACTATTGATTACTGACTTCAATGTAGTGGATGCTGGATTTTAACTTTCAAGGGAAGCCACGATTTAGTGGTGGAGATGTGCCTCTAGGTTTAAGAGCTTGTTTCGTTAATTTTAGGGATTAGGGGTATTTGTTAACACTGAATTATATAGCAGGAGATCAAATAAGAGGGTCAGGATCCACAGCCAAATAGATTGTACATTGCGGGAGCAGCTTGTTTGATGTCTGTTTGACAATCTTATAAAACTGAAGTGTTTGCAATCTCCTTCAGATCATGTTGAATGCCCAAGTACACTGGAAATAGGCTTCAAAATAAGTTAAATTACATTTCACTTAGGTAAAATTAAATCTAAAGTACAGTGTGATTGAAAACTTATTCAAATGAATATTTATATGGCCATGTAACATTATGCAAGTACAGTGTTTATTTTGTTCTTTTCTGAACTCGACCTCCTACAATGGGTGAAAAGATTTTTATCGTGAAACAAATGCGATATCAATATATTTTGATTTCCTGTAATATTGTATTTTAAAGTGGATTAGCCGTTCACATTATTAAATAAATGTTCCTCTGAGAGAATTTTACTAATATGTGATGACTAAAAATGCGATGATATAAATAATGACATTAAGAGGTGACAAGTAGAATACCAACAATAAGTTTGTATATGCATCACAGAAACCACAATATTGATATCACAAGTGCAGAAGGAGGCCATATGGCCCATTATGTCTGCAATGGCTCACTGAACATTATACCTAAGTGTCAATCCCCATGCAACCCTGTGCATTGTTTATATTTGGATAACTATCCAATACCACCTTGAATATTGCATTTGAAACTACCTTCACTACACTTCCAGGCAGTACATTCCATACCGTGACTACTACCTGGTGATGCTATGCACAGGCCTTCAGCCCCCTGCAGGTCAAAGTCATCTGGTTCCCCCGCAGGTTACGGGTTCCTTGCTGCATTGACCTAAAGAGATAAAAGTAAAGCTCCTGGTTTTGTTCCTATTCTGTTTGCAACTTAACTGATCACAGAAAAAGGAGTGATGCATATCTTAGAAATGGCCTTGGGTTTGAAGAGCAAAAGTCAGTAGAAGTTTCAAGTTCGGTTGACCCCTCCGGGTCACAGCCCTCTGGCCCTTCCATGCAGGTCACAGACTACAGTGCCCTGCTGTGGACTGTCTTATGGTCTCCTCCAGGCATGGTCACTCGCTGTGCACTATCCCTATTCCCCTGCAGGTCAAGGTCCTATGGCCTCTTGCATGTCACAGTTCTCTGCCCTCTTCAGATCACAGACAATGGCACCCTGTTGAGAAGTGTGTGAATATTGGATGAGGTTAAAATGAGGTTAAGATTAATCTCATCTGTGATACCTCTTGTCCTTGTTGGAATAACCTGCTCACTATCACAGCGTAGACTCACATTTAAATAATGGCAGCTTGGGTGAGTTATTGTAGGACAGTCATTATCATATCCATAGCAATTGTTACTCCATAGCCAGCCTACCATATTTGTACGTTGAGAGAAAGTATGTGGGACATGAACACTAGGTATGAAGAAGTGGATTGAAAATTAACAACACATTGAAATTCTCTTCAATCATCCATGTTCTAGAATTAATATTATTTTTCTCATGGTAGGTGGAGTGACCAACACTGCTCAGTACCAGAACAGACTTATGGTGTATGATCCAAGTCAGGTAGGCACTAATATTAATCCCTATATTATGGTGAAATTTCACTGTATTCATCTTGGGCTTGAAGTTTTGTTAAGACTGAGAAGGTCTTCATATTAGCTAATATATCACTGCAGCCCCAGGTCTGGAAGTCTGGCCGCCAAACTCAGGACACCCCATTGTTTCCCAGGAAAAATGGTGTCAATTTGCTATTTGCACATGTGGTTATGGAGGTAACTGTGCATATTATAAATGGAGCTGCCTTCAGTAAGATATAGTTTTCACCAGTGGAATGCCAAAAACATAACATGTCGGTTTTAGATCTTTAGAGGAAGATCTAAGCCTGCCAGAGTTCTTGGGAAAAGGAGGGTACCTTATTTAATGGATCTAGGGACAGCTTTGCAAAAGGTAAGTTGCCTATATGGGACAGAATTTGGTATATAAGTACGCAGAGTCATAGAGTCATACAGCATGGAAACAGACCCTTTGGTCCAACTCGTCTATGCTGACTAGGTTTCCTTAATTAAACTAGTCCCATTTGCCTGAATTTGGCCCATGTCCCCCTAAATGTTCCCTATTCATGTACTCATCCAAATGTCTTTTGAATTGTGATTGTACTTGCCTCCACCATTTATATTTGATGGAGCTGTCAAACTATTTAGAATTG